CGATTCAATCCTAGACCCAGTCCAATTTCTGTCATGACTTCCAAACCCAGTTTGGATCAGAAATTTTCTCAAACAAACTCAGAGAGCTCAAAGCACAAGTTCGTGGAGCTTCTGAATCTGAGGGAGAACTTACCACGATCCCCAGTTGCCGTGAGAGAAAGCAATGGACATAGTGGGCCCAGGGGGTACCTCGCTTGGTCACTCAGTGCTCTTAGGGGTTGCTGGAAGCTCTACATCAGATCCCACTTCTGACACCATCTGTTAAAGGAAAATCCTTGGCTAAATTAAATTTAACAGATTTAATTGAGCAAAGAGCAATTTGCGAATCGGGCAGCCTCTCGAGCTAGACTCAGAGAGACTCCACCACAGCGATGTGGTGGAAGAAGATTTTGGGACAGAAAAAAGGAAAGTTACATTCTGTACTGAGGTATGGAAACAGCCCAATTGGTTACAACTTGACATTTGCCTTATTTGAACACAGTTTGAACAGTTGGCCCCCTTTGATGGCCAAAACTGGGTGATTGGCACAAGAGTAGAATACATTCTGTTTACACCTTCATTTAGGTTATAGTTCATTATGTACAGAGAAACCTTTAGGCTGAATTTAAAATATGTAAGGCGGCAGCTTTAGGGTAAACTTGATTTAACAAAAGGGTAGTGTGAATATTTCTCATGGGTCAAAAAGTGGGCAAAGGCCGGGTCTGGTGGCTCACACCTATAATCCCAGCACTTTGGGAGGCTGAGGTGGGAGGATTGCTTGAGGCCAGGCATTTGAGACCAGCCTCAGCAGCATTGCAAGACTCTGTCTCTAGAAAATCAAAAAATTAGCCGGATGTGGTGGCACACACCTATAGTTGCAGCTATTCAGGAAGCTGAGGCATGAGAATCACTTGAGCCAAAAAATTTTAGGCTGCAGTGAGATATTAATCATGCCACTGCACTCCGGCCTGGGCAATAAAGTGAGATCCTGTCTTTTAAAAAAACAAAGTGAGCCAAGCTGAAGAGCGAACCTTTGAGGCCCAAGTAGCAAGACGCTGGGAGTAAAGATGTCACAAGAAACCATTCAGAAACAGACGCACCACCCTGGCCAAGGAATTGTGGAAGAAAGATCCCAGGGACGGGAGTCTCTGAGCAATCTACAAAGCATCCAAACAGAAAGTCCGTTTGAATTCTCTGCCAACCCAGAGAGTGCAAAGCCAGCTGGCCAAGTGGCATGTGCCCAGCCCCTTACCTCCTCTCCTGCCCTTTCCCTCACCTGGTGATGATGGAAACAGCGCTATGGAAGGAGAGAGGAGGAGACTGGATTGGAGGAAGAAGCCGATTGTCACCCCTTTCTCAGAGACAGCAGCATCAACTACAAGTGTCTGCAGCAAGAGAGGGAGAAACCTTTCCTTCACATGAAGACTCAAGAGTTACTTATATTGAATTGAGACTGTCTTTCTGACTTAAAGTGACTGAAAGCCTCTCGATGACCTGAAACGGAGCCTGCTGCGCTTTCATTCTGTAGCAGAAGAAACGCTTCCCACCCTGCCTCAGGTTCAAAAGGGTAGTGGGAGACCAGGGATGGTGACTCACGCCTGTAATCCCAGCACTTTAGGAGGCCAAGGTGGGCAGATCACTTGAGGGCAGGAGTTCAAGACCAGCCTGGCCAACATGGTGAAACACTGTCTCTACTAGAAATACGAAAATTAGCTGGGCACAGTGGCATGTGCCTGTACTTCCAGCTACTCGGGAGACTGAGGCAGGAAAATCGCTTGAACCCAGGAGGTGGAGGCTGCAGTGGCTGCAGTGAGCTGAGATTGCACCACTGCACTCCAGCCTGGGGAACAGAGTGACACTCTGTCTCAAAAAAAAAAAAAAAAAAAAAAGGAGGGGGGTAATGGGAGGCAAGAGATAGTTTTTTATTTCATCACAAGGCATGCTTGTTCAGCATACAGATACAATCAAGGAACAGAACTACTGCAAACTGTGGGCCCAGGACTGCGCATTGCACCCCCACAGCTGGGACACTGCCACCACCCCAGAGGCCCAAAGGCCACGATGTGAAACCAATGAAACCCTAGGATGATGCAGGTCATTTGTTCCTACGACCCTTCTTTGCTGAGGGCAGAGAGGCTCACCTGAAATTTCACCAAGATCCTGGGACAGGATTCAAGGTGGAGAGGATTTTAATTTCCCTGAGGGCCTTGTGTCCATCAGATAGAAGCTATCTCCAGTCCTCTGGAGTCTCGCCCTGGCCTGGAGGTCTCTTACATTTCTGCCTGCCTGGGTCTCAGGTCTGGAAATGACAGCACACCTCCATCTGGGGCAGCTGCACCCACAGGCCAAGATCTGGATTCCTGGCTGCTGTATTGACAGCTGTGGTTATGAGGTCAATCAGATTGAGGGTAGTGGGTAGTAAGGAAATGCCGGATACATTAATCAAATACCCATGAGAGCAGAATCTATTCCTTGGCATAAGAGCAGAATCTCTTGCCGGGAGGAGGCAGCTGGAACATGTGGCTCTAACATGGAGCTGGAACTTTATCCTCTTCCTAGGAGTCTCTCTTCACCGACCCCTGACTCCCACACCTGCTTCCCGCTTTGATCCTCTGTCCCAAGGGTGAATATGTAAACTTTTCTTATCATCCAGACAGTGGAGACAAGGCTACCTTACTTAAACAAGGTTTTAACAAAAGCTTAAGACATACAACTGAGAACACAGTGATATGAAAGTGGCAGTCTGAGCTGGGCACCGTGACTCACGCCTGTAATCCCAGCAGTTTGGGAGGCCAAGGTGGGAAGATTGCTTGAGCCCAGGAGTTTAAAAGATGAGCTTGGGCAACATATGAGACCCCACCTACAAAAAATAAAAAAAATCAGCCAGGTGTGGCAACACACACCTGGCGTCCCAGCTACTTGGGAGGCTGAGGTAGGAGGATCACTTGAACCCAGGAGATCGAGGCTGCAGTGAGCCATGATCACGCCGCTGCACTCCAGCCTGGGCAACAGAGCAAGAACCTGTCTCAAAAAAACAAAAAAAAACAACAAAAAAAGGAAAATCTTGCTCACAAGGCAGGACTTGCTTTGTGACTCTCTCCAGAGGTCCCTCTCTCTCATCCGTACCTCCAAAATCCACAGACTGACAACCACCTTGACCCCCTCTACTAAGGCAGTCGAAAGTTGGGACAATGAGGCCAGTAGAGGGAAGTGGATTCCCCACTTCAACCTGCTGAGGGCCTCATTTAATGATCCAGGTCCTTAGATGAAGGACCTCCTCTTCTTCCCAGGGTATTAGCCCAGGAATTGCATCATTTCAGGGAAGTCCCATGGATTGGGCTGCCCCTGTTCCCACCCCCAAGGATCTCTGGATGGGTGTTCTGTGGTATAATATAGAGCATCCTTGGTCTTTGCTTAGATTCCTTTCTTTTTTTTTTTTTTTTTTGTTGAGACAGAGTCTCGCTTTGTCACCCAGGCTGGAGTGCAGTGGCCGGATCTCAGCTCACTGCAAGCTCCGCCTCCCGGGTTTGCGCCATTCTCCTGCCTCAGCCTCCCGAGTAGCTGGGACTACAGGTGCCCGCCACCTCGCCCGGCTAGTTTTTTGTATTTTTTTTTTAGTAGAGACGGGGTTTCACCGTGTTAGCCAGGATGGTCTCGATCTCCTAACCTCGTGATCCGCCCGTCTCGGCCTCCCAAAGTGCTGGGATTACAGGCTTGAGCCACCGCGCCCGGCTTAGATTCCTATCACAGAGCACCTAAAACGCTTGGATGTTCCTGACAGGAGCGTCTTTTGTTATTCTTTATTTCTTTTATTTTTCCTTTGTTCTTCTTCTTCTTCTTCTTTTCTGGAGACAGAGTCTCGCTCTGTTGCCCAGGCTGGAGTGCAGTGGCACAAACAAACATGGCTCACTGCAGCCTCAACCTCCTGGGCTACAGCAATCCCCCTGGCTCAGTCTCTCGAATAGCTGGGACTATAGGCACACACCACCACGCCTGGTTAATTTTTGTATTTTTGAAGAGATGGGGTTTCTCTATGTTGTCTAGGCTGGTCCCGAACTCCTGAGCTCAAGGGACCCTCCCACCTTGGCCTCCCAAAGCATTGGGATTTCAGGCATGAGCCACTGTATCTGGCCCCTTTGTTATTCTTAATGAGCGCCTTTTCATCACCCACAGACAGCACTCTAAGAGTCTTGCTCATGAAGGATGTGACCTCCAATTTCAGGAGAATACATCTTTCCCCAAATGATCTTGTGCCTTGCATCCAACCTTAAACGCCTATGGACAGCCTGGCCCAGCCCTAAATCTAACCAGAGGAGTTGCACAACACCAGCCCTCTGCCATTTAGAGCTGCCTTAACCCACCCTGGACTTTTGAAAGCCAAAAGTCCTAGCCAGAGAAAGGGCCAACTGAATAAGGACTGAGCTTCCAGGATAAATGACTCAATGTGCAGAAGTTCCTAGAGATGCTTGCTCTCTCAGGGAACTTGTTGCAAATGGGGGGTTTCAAGCCTTTCATATAGAGCCTTGTGACTGTAGAGAGGTCAGCCCTGCCAAGTGCCTGCCACCCAGACATGCTCTCCCTGGGACGTTAAGTAGGTCATGACCAATCATGAGCCCTAGAGCTTAAAAGATCCTTTAGCTCTTGCCTAATGTGGTCACCCCTGATGTTTGTACCTGTGTAGAACAGTAGCTTTCTCTGCTGTCTGTACAGGAAGTCCTACTCACAAATGTTCGCAAGGCAATGTTAAAAACACCTGTCAACCAAAGCTGACGTAGACCCTCTTCTCTATATGTTAGAAGAATATATGATGTTCTATTCCAGTACGTATAACATTGGAAAGAAGCAATTTACTCATCTAGACTTGGAGACTCTGGCTCAACATCAAATTAAAATCTTGATATGTCTGTGGAGGGTGGGGATTAGGAGGGGAGGTCCAGGGTAGCTTGCCGAGAGATACTCAAATAGGGTAAATACAGCCCATCCACCCGAGCACCAATTTTTTTAGAAGTTTTAAGGGGGAAAACACATTTTTATCTATAAACACATTACGAAACAGACTGTAAAATTCACATGAACTTTAAATATAAATTGCAAATTTTCAAAGAAATTTTTAGCTTACAGCTGGCCTTTTTGGGCTACAACCTCTTCTCACCCGCCCCCAGCTGGTGTTCACGTGAGGGTGCTTTTGTGCAAAGCTGGAGAAGCACGGGATGTGAAGGGCCTTCTCAGAGGCAGAGCTCTGCAGATGAACCAGAAGACCGCACCCAAACCCCCGTTCAGCTGCGTGGCATAAACACCTTCCCCTGGTTAGAAGCTGATGCCTCACGGTGAGCTTGGATGACAAGTTCATAGAGAGCCATCCACGTGAATGGGTTTAATAGGATTTCTTTAGCAATTGTTTAAAGATAGTCTTTAGCGTCCCTCAATACGCTTTCCAGGAGGATACACAGAATAAATTCCTGCTTGCCTTTTAGATCCCAGATAAAACTGCTCCCGCAGAAGAATTCGAATTTCTTTGTCTTATTGGACAATAAAAATTATGTAACTTACTGTGTTTCTTTGTGCTTCATTGCCAGACATCTTAGAAGCAAATCTCTTAGTCTTTTAATACGTTTGGTCCCGGTGCCGGAAAATGCCTGCTTCTTCTGTCACCTTCGGATGGACTCTGCTTTCCCTCTCCTGTATGTCATGTCCTGTTCTGGGCTGTAAATAGCCAGCCCACGAAGCAAGCAGGGCACACATTTTAATGTATATATTTTTTCAATCAACTTTTAAATGAACATGACCAATTTATAAACCAAATTCACAACCAAGGCAAAAAACACAGACTCTAAGACAAGTCAAGCATTAAACAGAAACAGCTGATTTATTTATTTATTTATTTATTTATTTATTTATTTATTCAAGACGGAGTTTCACTCTTGTTTTCCAGGCTGATATCCAATGGCATGATCTCGGCTCACTGCAACCTCTGCCTCCTGGGTTTGAGCGATTCTCCTGCCTCAGCCTCTGGGGTAGCTGGGATCTCAGGTACCCACCACCATGCCCAGCTAATTTGTGTGTGTGTGTGTGTGTTTTTAGTAGAGACAGGTTTTCACCATGTTGGCCAGGCTGGTCTCGAACTCCCAACCTCAGGTGACCCACCTGCCTTGGCCTCCCAAAGTGCTGGGATTACAGGTGTGAGCCACCGCGCCCGGCCGATATTTTTTAAGAAAGGAAAATCTATGCAAATTTACATTGTTTTGCTATTTTTTAAAACTGCTGGCTGGGGGAGGAGGTTCATACTGTAATCCAAGCACTTTGGGAGGCTGAGTTGGGAGGATCACTTGAGCCCAGGAGTTCGAGACCAGCCTGGGCAACATAATGAGACCTCCATCGTTACAAAAAAAAAAAAATGAGCTGATTGTGGTGGCTCGAGCCACCTGCAGTCCCAGCTGCTTGGGAGGCTGAGGCAGGAGGATTGCTTGAGCTGAGGATGTTGAGGCTGCAATGAGCTATGATTGTGTCACCGTACTCCAACCTGGGTGACAGAGTGGAAAAAAAAAATTTAATGCTGCAATGAGTACCTACGTGCATAATTTTCTGATTGGTTCTTTAAGATATATTTCTAAAGTGAAATTATTGCCCATGTGGTGTGACTATTTTCAAGGACAAATTAATTTTCCATGTCTGTTAGGATGCTGTGAGTTGCAAGAGAGGCAGCATAGCACAGTGGCTGAATCTGTGGACTCTGGACTGCCTGGATGCAAATTCTGGTTCCACTACTGAGTAGAATTAACGGCAGACTGTCTACCCTTGAATTCACCTCAGGAGCTAATGGTAAATATAGGAGTCTACTCAGCAAAACATAGAATAGAAAAGAAAGAGCAAGGGAACATAAAAACTAGAAAGCATAAAAGAAAATGAGAGGCCGGGCGCGATGGCTCACGCCTGTAATCCCAGCACTTTGGAAGGCCGAGGCGGGCGGATCACGAGGTCAGGAGTCGAGACCATCCTGGCTAACACGGTGAAACCCCATCTCTACTAAAAAATACAAAAAACTAGCCAGGCGTGGTGGCGGGCGCCTGTAGTCCCAGCTACTCAGGAGGCTGAGGCAGGAGAATGGCGTGAACCAGGGAGGTGGAGCTTGCAGTGAGCCGAGATCACGCCACTGCACTCCAGCCTGGTAGACAGTGCGAGACTCCGCCTCAAAAAAAAAAAAAGAAAATGAGAGAAGCAAAAAACCATCATGAATAAAAATGTAGATTAGTTAAACTTGCCTAGTAAAAGACAATGATTCTCAAACTGGCTCAAAAGTCAAATGAGACTGAATGCTTTCTCACCTTCAGTTAACTCACTCTTTATGGCTGGGTGCAGTTGGGCACACTTGTAATCCCAGCACTTTGGGAGGCTGGGGCAGATCACTTGAGCCCATGAGTTCAAGACCAGCCCTCCCTGGCACCATAGCAAGACCCTGTCTCTACAAAAATCAAAAGAAAAGAATAAAACAAATAGTCAGGTGTGGTGGTACATGGCTGTAGTCCCAGCTCTCAGGAGACTAAGGCAGGAGGATCCCTTGAGCTCAGGCGTTTGAGGCTGTGATGAGCTATGATCATGTCACTGCTCCATCCTGGGCAATAGAACAAGACCTTATGTCTAAAAATTACAAACAAAACCCCCTAATTCTTTACCATAATATCTGGTCACCACACCCAATTTACCATGGCCACTCACTGCTTTCATCATGGTGACCAAGGTCATTTAGGTGGTCACTAAATCTAGTGGAATCTTTTCAGCCCTTGTCTGTCTTAACCTCTTAGAAAATATTTCATGCTATTAGCCACACCTTTCCTCTTAACACAAGCTCTTCTCCTGGCTTCTTTTTTTTTTTTTTTTTTTTTTTGAGATGAAGTGTTGTTTTGTCACCCAGGCTAGAATGCAGTGGCATAATCTTGACTCACTGCAACCTCCGCCTCCTGGGTTCAAGTGATTCTCCTGCCTCAGCCTCCCAAGTAGCTGGGACTATAGGTACATGCCACCACACCTAACTAATTTTTGTATTTTTAGTAGAGATAGGGCTTCTTCATGTTGGCCAGGCTGGTCTCGAACTCCTGGCCTCAAGTAATTGGCCTGCCTCGGTCTCCCAAAGTGCTGGGATTACAGGTGTGAACCACTGTGCTCAGCCTTACTGGCTTCTTAAAGATGCATGTTCTCTGAATTTCTTTTCTCTGGAAAAGAAGCAATTGGAAAGAAGCCATTTACTCATCTAGACTTGGAGAGTCTTAAAAATCTTTTTCCTTTGCCCATCCCTTAAATGTTAGTGCTGCTCCTCAGGGTTCTCTCCTAGGTGCTTTTCTCTCTCCCTGTATATATGCTTTCTGGGAGCTCTCAACCATTCTCAAAGTTTCCATTATAACCCATATACTGATGAATCCCAAGTCTAGAATTCCAGCCCAGACCTCTCTCCTGGGCTCCAGATCTATATAGTCAAATGCATAATGGATATTTCCATTTAGGAGTTTTGTAGGAACCTCAAGCTCAGCATTACCCAGCTGAACTCATAATTTTTTCTATATGTTTCTGCTGTTACTAGTAAATGGCACCACCTGGTTTTCTAAAGTCAGAAACCAGAGAGCCAGCTTTGACTCCCCTCTCCCCTGCCACCCACGTCAAATGAATCAGCCTCTCCTAAATATATTTTTCCAGTCTATTTGCTTCTTTACATTCTCATTGCCAATACCCTCTTCTTGCCCACCACCCTTCCACGCCTGGGCTATTGACTCACTTCCTAATGATCTCCCTACCTTTAATTATGCTAGGCTATAATCCAATGTCCATTGTGCTCCAGATATCTTCTATAGCAAAAAAACTTGGCCATGACCCTCCCATACTGAAAATTCTTCAGTGGCAAGGCCCTTTCTGAGCTGCCACTGAATTTCTTTCATCTTGAGTTTGCCTTGCTCTCTCTCACATTCAGATCTTTGAACATGCTGTTCTCCCTCCTTAAAATATTGTTCTGCTTTTCTTTTCTTAGCTTAACTCCTCTCATTTTCAGGTCTCAGATTAAATGTCACTTTCTCAGGTTAGGTTTCCTGGCCATGTGCTTCCTTATCACCTGTATTTCTTTTCTCTACCACCCATCACAAAAGTATTGAAATTTCATACTTAATTGTCTTTCCCTGTCAGACCACAAGGGCCATGTAGATGGGAACTGTGTCCATCTTTTTCATCACCATGTACCTTGGCACCTAGTGCTGTGCCTAGTAATCATTAAGTGCTCAATAAACAGTTACTGAATGCGGGCTGGGCGTGGTGGCTCATGGGTGTAGTCCCAGCACTTTGGGAGGCCAAGTTGGGCAGATGGCTTGAGCCCAGCCAGGAGTTCAAGACTGGCCTGGGAAACATGGCAAAAGCCCCTCTTTACAAAAAAAAAAAAAAAAAAAAAAACTAGCCATACAGGTGCACGTGCCTGTAGTCTCAGCTACTAGGGAGGCTCAAGAGGGAGGATTGCTTGAGCCCTGGAGGGGAAGGCTGCAGTGAGCCATGATTGTACCACTGCACTCCAGCCTGGGTGACAGTGAGACCCTGTATCAAAAAAAAAAAAAAAAAAGTCATTAAATTCATGGGCACATGCACACGCACACGAATGCACCCTTTTCACATTCCTCATAATGGCAAAAAAGAAAAAAGTCTGGAAAATGCTTAACTTTCCAACATGAGGGTATATATGGTAAGTGAAGTGTGATCCTTCATATGTTGAATTATCCATGCAGTCCAGTCATAGAAATATCATGAAAACAGATAGTTAATGACACATAGAAAGATGTTTCTCATCTATTGCTAGGAGAAAACAACAGTATTGTATATATAAATATATAAGTATAATTTCGTTCTATTTTTGCCCTGTGTTTTTAATTTCCCTTAGAATTCTTCATCTTATCCATCTACCATTCGATTTATTTTGTTCTTTTTCTTCTCTGCTTGTTTTCTTCGTATGGCTGACTGCTCATGTTTTATGAAAGGCATCTCTTCTTCCATTCTGTTGAAGATGTCAAACAATTTTCCAACATTTTCTTGTATTCTGCAGTAGTCTGCATTTTCAGGAATTATCCCCTTCCTCTTGCTCTTCAGGGAGGAAGAGATTTGTCCTTTCTCCTATTCAGTAGCATTTTGTCATGGGCTCAATTTTTTTTCTCTTTTTACTTACTTGGCATGAATGAAACAAAATTGTCCAGCTTGGCCCCTCACTCTCTGCTTGGGAGATAATAGCATCCTTTTCTTAGATCAACAGCTTGAGAGGAGGTTGGTGTGAATGGTTCCCAGTCAAACTCTGAGTTCTAGAGGACTCTAACACAGCTTTGCTTGCAGAGGTGGCATCTCCTTCGACACCTACTGCCTGGTTCTTTGATTCTGTGACCCCATATCGTGCATAACAACTTCAACTCCTTTTCCATTAAGAGGAGTCAGGGCTTCTAGGGGAAATGGCTGATTCCAGGTCTGGGTAGGAAATACACAAGATAAACCTGAATGTCTTTGAGTACCAGATAGTGAGGATTATTCATCAAAAGGACTCAGGAACCAACTTGAAGGGATTCCACTGGCCAATGATGGATAATTTGAGTGTCAGTGAGATAATTGCAATGGATTGAAACATGAAAGAATTAAGTCCATACATTCATCAGTATTCCCCTCCCAAAACAAAAACCCTAGTTAGGTTCTGTGGGAACATGTTAGAGGCCAACTCATTATTTTGAAAATTGATAGCTAAAGGTAAGAAATCAAGTGTTTACATCACCTTTCCTATGTGAACTTTATCACTGAGAAGCCATATACAGATTGTGGGGAAGTTTCTCCTTATAGAAGTATTACAGGTGATAAATGAAGAAGGAAGGATAGTGTTAGAACTGTTTTGCAACCCCTAACATATAATGAATCTAGGCTTTGATCATCAAGAGCTACCATCATCACGAAAAAGAGACATAACTAGACATTAAGGGACTTCTGGTGGAAGAAAACAGCAGCATCTATGAAGTAGTCTTGCCAAAAATATCTGACAAACCTAATCAAGCCCCTAGATTCAACTCCCATTTTACAGGAAATTCAGAGGTAGAGGAACATGTTAAACATTTCACCACTAGCAATATGAGTATGCAGTCATCAAAATCCAGACTATGGGAAACTCTATAGGACAAACAACTTTCTCTCTTTAACAAATAATTTGCCAGGAGAAAAAATGATTTTATATATATATATTTATTTATTTATATATATATATATTTGAGAGAAATGGTAGAAGGGGAACGTATAGAGACTTAAAAGATCCTCGGGCATGGTGGCTCACACCTGTAATCCCAGCACTTTGGAAGGCCAAGGCATCCAGATCTCTTGAGCCCAGGAGTTCAAGACCAGCCTGGGCAACATGGTGAAACTCCATCTCTACAAAAAATATTAAAAAGTAGCCAGGTGTGGTGATGCACACCTGTGGTCCCAGCTACCCAGGAGGCTGACGTCAGAGGATCTCCTGAGCCTGGGATGTTGAGGCTGCAGTGAGCAGAGATTGTGCAACACACTCCAGCCTGGGCAACAGAGCGAGACCCTTTAAAAAAAAAAAGATTCTCAATGTATGTGAACCTTATTTGGATTCTGGTTCAAGCAATTAAAAAGTATAGTTATTAAATGAGTGAAAAATTTGAGCACTGACTGGATTTTTTTTTTCCAAAATTAACCTTGTGCTAGCTCGTGTATTTTTTTTTTAATATTAAGAAATTTGACTGGGTGCTGTGGCTCACACCTATAACCCCAGCACTTCGGGAGGCTGAGGCCGGTGGATCGCCTGAGCTCAGGAGTTGGAGACCAGTCTGGGAAACATGGTAAGACCCTGTCTCTATAAAAAATAAATAAAATAGAAAAAAGAGAAATTATGTTAACTGTTGGGGTGATAAAGGTATTGTGTAATGTAAAAAAATATTTTTAAAGATAACTGCAAAACTATTTACAGATGAAATGGTACAATGTTTGGAGCCTGTTTCAAATTGAATGGGGAGTACTAAATGGATTATAAAAGAAACCAGATTGACGATGAGTTGATAATTATTGAACTGGGTGATGGGAGCACAGAGGTTCATTATACTATTTTGCTAATTTTGTATACCTGATGTTCTCTATAATAAAAAGTTTTAAAAATTGAATTTGTTTTAAAAATGCAATAAACCCCTAATACCTGACTCCCGATGAAACACTGCTTCTGTCCCTCTAGTACTACGGAATCCTGCTTACACTTCACGTCCTACAGTGGGTTCCCATTTGACCACAGTTTCGTTCTTCATTCAGCACTTCAATTGCCTTGAAAATCCTTTATATTTCCTGTGAAAGAAGTAATTAAGATATTGTGTATTTACCTTGTAGAGTGATTCTTAATGTACATTAGCATTTGAATAACACTTAGATAAACTAAAGGAAGATACAATACCTTGGAATAATTTTCCACTTGTTTTCCTGGCACCATTTTTTCTGTTTTCATTAGTAGTATTTTTTTGTAGAGACCGAGTCTCACTATGCTGTTCAGGCTGGTCCCAAACTCCTGGGCTCAAGGGATCCTCCTGTCTTGGCCTCCCAAAGTGCTGGGATTACAGGCATGAGCCACCATGCCAGGCCAACTTTTTCTTGATTCTCCTCTTACCTATTGGCCACTTCTTCACTGCTGGAGTGTCCCAGGGTTTAATCCTGGGAGTCCCAGATTTAAACTGATGGGTCCCAGATTTGTATCTTTAGCCCAGAATCAATCCATGGCCTGTGGTCTCATTGATCTAACTGCTTACTTGATATGTCCAGTTGGGATTCTAACAGGCTCTCAAATTAACACATTTGAAGGAATTCCTAATTTCTGCACATTCCCCAATTTGCTCCTCCCTGAGTGTTTCTTTTTCCTATAAATGCTGTGTCGCCCAGGCTGGAGTGCAATGGTGGGAACACAGCTCGCTGCAGCCTCAGCCTCCTGGGCTCAATCAATCCTGCCTCAGCCTCTTGAGTAGCTGGGACCACAGGTGTATGCTCCCATGGCTGCCTAATTTTTAATTTTTTTGTAGAGACAGGGTCTTGCCATGTTGCCCAGGTTGGTCGTGAACTCCTGGGCTAAAGCAATATGCCTGCCTTGGCCTCCCGAAGTGCTGAGATTACCGGCTTGAACTACCGTGGTTGGCCTTGGCCTTGAATTTTTTCAATAGTTTTCAACTAAGTTTGGGCAACTTGGTGAGACCCCATCTCTGAAAAAAAAAAAAAAAAATCAGCTAGGCATGGTGGCATGCACTTGTGGTCCTAGCTACTAAGGAAGCTAAGGTGGGAGGATCACTCGAGCCCAGGAGGTTGAGACTGCAGTGAGCTGTGATTGTGCCGCTGCCCTCCAGCCTGGGTGACAGAGTAAGACCCTGTCTAAAAATCTCAAAAAACAAACAAACAAACAAACAAAACCCACACACAAAACAACAGTTTTCAAGTGGTCTCGTGGGCTTTCCTTGTTGCCTCCACTGACAGTCACTCAAACCTAGCAACCCAGGTGTGGTGGCTCACACCTATAATCCCAGCAATTTGGGAGGCTGAAGTGGGAGAATCACCTGAGACCAGGAGTTTGAGACCAGCCTGGAATACAGTGAGACCCTGTCCGTAAAAAATAAGCTGGGCACAGTGGTGTGAGCCTGTAGGACCAGCTACTCAGGAGGCTGAGGCTACTTAGGGGCCGAAAATCCCTTTAGGTCAGGAGTTCAAGGCTGCAGTGAACTATGACTGTGCCGTGGCACTGCAGCCTCTGTGACAGAGGGAGATCCCATCTCTAAAACAAACAAACAAAAAAAAACAAACCCAAAACCACACTCCCCCCACCAAAAAAAAAAAAAAAAACACAAAAAACTAGCAACGAATGTGATCTTACATCAGATTACGTTGCTCCTCTTCTCCAAATCTGCCCATGTAGACTTTTACTCTATCTTAGAGTAAAATTCAAAGTCTTAAAATGATTTACAAAGCCCTTCAACTTATTGTGCAGTGAACCTCATTGCCCTCAACAACTAACCCTGTCACCATGTGCCTTGCTAGTCTCTGCTTCACTGACTTTCCTCAGCTCCACTGACTTTACTGCTGTTCCTTGAACATGCCAAGAACACTCCCACCCCAAGACCTCTATTTTCTTCACTCCTCTGCTCAAACGTCACCTTATAACCTCCCACCACCCACAACTACACTTACACCTACACACACACACACACACACTTCTCAGCGCTTCCCCTCCCATTTACCTTGCCTTATTTTGTTCTGTAACACTTATCCTCCACTATACTCTACATTTCTTATTTATTTATTATCTTTTTTCTCTACTGGAATGTAAAGTCCTTAAGAATGGGAAATTTGTTTTGTTCACTGCTGTATTCCCACTACCCAAAGTAGTGCCTGACATGTAGAGAGAGCCTCAAAATATTTATTGAATGGATAAATTGATGAAGAAAGTGATATGGTTTGGCTGTGTCCCCACCTAAATCTCATCTTGAATTGTAGCTCCCATAATCCCCATGTGTTGAGGGAGGGACCCAGTGGATAGTCAGTGAATCATGGGGGCAGGTTTTTCCCATGCTGTTCTTGTGATCGTGATAGTGAATAAGTCTCACAAGATCTGATGGTTTTATAAAGATAGTTCACCTGCACACCCTGTCTTGCCTGCTGCCATGTAAGACATGCCTTTGCTCCTCCTGTACCTTCCACAATGATTGTGAGGCCTCCCTAGCCATGTGGAACTGTGAGTCTATTAAACCTCTGCTTCTTTATAAATTACCCAGTTTCAGGTATGTCTTTATTAGCAGCGTGTGAATAGACGAATACAGGAAGGAACAAGAAGAAAGCCTAAATGCAGATGGGTAGCTCCTAAATATCTAAGATACCCATTGAATCGCAGCAGTGGTGCGTGATGGGTGGGAAGTCTGGAAGTCTTCTTGCTCATCTGCAGGTTGAAGCTGCCATGTTGTGGTACTTCCTATGGGGAAGTCCACACTGCAAGGAACAAGGGATACTCACCCCAACTCTTGCACAACTGAATCTTACCAACAACCACCTGAGTGAGGGAGTAAGACGTGTCCTTCCTAGTTGAGCTTTGAGATGACTACAGCTTTTTAAGAAATTCATTTGGGAGACTCACCTACTCTGTGCCTGGATTCCTGTTCCCTGGAAACTGGAGATAATAAATGTATGTTTTTGTTGTTGTTTGTTTTTTTTTTAGATGGAGTTTCGCTCTTGTTGCCCAGGCTGGAGTGCAATGGCACAATCTCGGCTCACTGCAACCTCCGCCTCCTGGGTTCAAGCGATTCTCCTGCCTCAGCCTCCCGAGTAGCTGGGACCACAGGCATGCACCACTAAGCCTGGCTAATTTTGTATTTTTTTTTTTTTTTTTTTAAGTAGAGACGGGGTTTCTCCATGTTGGTCAGGCTGATCTCAAACTCCTGACCTCAGGTGATACACCAGCCTTGGCCTCCCAAAGTGCTGGGATTACAGGCGTGAGCCACCCCACCTGGCCTGTATGTTGTTTTAATCCACTAAGTTTTGGAGTAATTTGTTAGGTAGCAATACTTAATTAATACAGAGTTTGGTCTACTAACTGGACCTTAAGTTCCTTGCAAGCAGTAACTGTTTACTCAGCACTTGTCAGATGAATATGTTTTAAGTGTTTGAATGACTTAGAGTTTTCAATACTCTGCGTCTGCATGTATTTTAGGGGGAAGTTGAGAAAAGCTGCCTCAGGCGGCTGCTAACCAGATGCTACTTTAAATGTACTGTCTGTCTCTCAGCCTTGCCTCTCCGTCCCTAATCTATCATCTCACTGGATTGAACTTCCCAGGGGTTGTGATAATGTGGAACACTTTGAAGTTTCCTCAGTAAGTGATCACTTTCCACCCCATGTAGGATGTGGATTTCAGAGCTAGGGATATGCAGGGAGGGAATATCATCCCAATAACAATGGCCCCTTGATTAGAAATGTGAATGCTGCTCCTCTTAAAACATTGACTTGTAGTTAACAATCACAGGTTATTGTTGGAAATCAAGCTGGTTGAATATTTTCCTCTTCAGTTAAGATGCATATCCCTAGAGGTATGATCCATAGGGAAACAATCTTCCTAGGCAAATTAATGCATGGATAGGACTTTTCTAGAGCCACCCACGAGGCTAGCATTCAGGTCTCCAGCATTTAATTCCTCATTTTGAATCTCGGCCAGAGATGGTGAGAAATATAAGAGACCAAACACATTAACTACTGGGTCCCAGCATCTGATCTTTCCATGTGCACACTGACACAGGCAACACCTACCCTGAGCCGAAGTGAATTCCTTTCATCAGAAAGCTGACTGAGCCTCAAAGTAAAAATTCCTTATTGTACCAGTCAGAGACTCGGGGAGAACTGCTCAGCTCTGCCCAGTCACGCAGTTAGTGCCAGCCTATAGGGGGAGCTAAAATTCACTGGGTGTAGCTTTCCTTTTTGTAACAAGGCCCCTCTAGGCTGGTGATGTGAGAGCCAAGGAGAAAGAGGACCAAGGCAGAATCTTGTCATCAAATCCCACATTCTAGATTCTAGAAAGGATTTCTACTCTTCGTGGGTGTGTTCTAGGGCCCCGGCGATGGGGAGAATGCAGCTGCTCGGCTTTTTTTAAACTCAAACTTGTATGCTTCTCCAGCAGATGATTGCTAATACTGCTATGGCTGGACAAGCCTCGTTCTAATTTTTTGAGTTACCAATAAAATGTTTTTGCCAAGCTGCCTTCTTTGAGGAGGAGAGGGGCTTGATGATGCCTCACCCAGCTGGGCAGAGCGGGGTGCTATATGACTGGTAAAACTGGAATTGTGCAAGGAAAGGGGGCTTGGCCTTGAAACCTGGGCAAAATAAATGTATTAGAGAGGGGCTCTCCCTGGAGGGAAGTTGGTTAGTTAGGAGGGACATTAATATGATTAGCAGCAGGGAATCCCTGGGTTCTGGGAGGCAGCTCTGCAGAAGGGGACTTTGATGATGCTCAGGCTGAAGGGAGTGGAAGTTGGAGGACTCTGCCAATGAGAGAGGCTGGACACTTAGAAGGAGATCCAAGGCTTCTTATAGATTGACTTGTCTTTGTTCTGGCCACCCTGTTCCTCCCGGGGTCAATGTGTGAAGATGTCTGCAAGGCCTTCCGCTGGTGTCTGAGCTCTTCTTTGAAGCTCTGGGGAAACCAGAATATGGACATAAATCTTTTAGTTAGTTGTTAAGTGACCTTGGTAGTCACTGGAGTTCTAGCAGAGCTCTGAGTATAATTTCATTCATTTACTCATTTATTCATCCAATGAATACATTTATCGAGCATCCACTTTGTGTCAGGCATTTTTCTGAGCTTTGAAGTTACAAAGATGGACAAGACCCATGAGGCCTGTGTCTTCGTGGGGTTTTCTTTTGTGGGGGGTGACAAGGGTCTAGCACCATGCGAAATGGTGGATCTGCTGGCTTATGGGTTCCTTCGGGCAGTTATATTTCAGTAGTCATGTGGGTGTGATTTTCCCAGTTGACAGCTCTTCTGGAATATAAGCAGCTGCAATCAGCATATCAAAAAGCCTCCCTAATGAAGTGCTGTCTCTTGGCTGAGACTTTGAAAGCTTCAGAGAAAGATGTTTTTATCTAGGCAGAGGGAAACTGTGTCTTGGCAAGGGGCATCCAAGGGAACCTCAAAACACCTGCAGGTGATTTTAGCTTGAGCAGAAAATCCTACTTTTGTCATTAGAGATGTAAAAATATCCCTCGAACTCCACCCCACTCTCAGCCCACCATGAGAGTTGGGTGCCGCGGACCTGAGACACAAGGTTCACTGAGGATCAAAGCAACAGGTTATCAAGAATTCATCCGTTTGTTCTGGAACAGTGTTTTGGAATATGATAATACTATGAATCCTCTAGAAACCAAGTAAACTGGCTTGGTCTGAAATAGCTTCTGAGGGGAATATGGGTCATATTTGACTATTGTGACTCTTAATTCCTCAAAAACAGTCTCTCACCCCTGGCTCCACACTGGAATGGCCCATGGCATTTAAAAACTTATTGATGGCCAGGTGCGGTGGCTCACTCCTGTAATCCCAGCACTTTGGGAGACTGAGGTGGGTGGACTGCTTGAGTCCAGGAGTTCGAGACCAGCCTGGGCAACATAGTAGAACCCTGTCTCTACTAAAAATACAAAAATTAGCCTGGCACGGTGGCTTGAGCCTGTAGTCCCCACTACTTGGGAGGCTGAGGTAGGAGGATCACCTGAGCCTGGGAGGTCAAGGCCACGGTGAGCCATGATTGTGCCACTGCACTTCAGCCTGGGTGACAGAGTGAGACCCTGTCTCAAAAAAAAAAAAAAAAAATATGCAGGAGTCCAATCCTGGCCCAATTAAATCAGTAGCTATGAGTGTGAGGCCTAGGCAATTACCTTATTTTTTTTTGGAGGCTGTTTGATGCTGATGTGCAGCAAGAGTGGGGAACCACTGCTCTAGACAGCTCTAGATTGGAGGCAGATCTTTTTCTTTCAGAGAGCAAAGGTAAGTTAAACAGGCGCTTGTACATGTTGGGAGGACTCTCAATCTAACCAGTAAATTGGTCAATAGGTCTACATTTGAAAAACAAATTTCCAAAGTGCAAGTCATTTTTCATATGGCTAGAAATCTTTAAAATTGTAAAAGCAAACCTTTATGTCCAAAGCAGCTTTGAAGTTTGAAATTGAAAGCTGGCAGCTATGTCACCCTACAGAAGGGAATATTTAAAATTCCTGGAGAGCATGTCAGAATTTCAAAGGATAATAATAATAGTTGAAAGCTGACTGATGTCTAGAGCCAAGCAAGCAGCGAGGCTTAACAGGATCATAGTCACCAAAAAATTCCAGACCCTCTCTGTGTCTTCTTCATAGAAATAGGCAATTAAGCAGTTGGAAGGCAAGCCTCCTACCCAACAAAAGAATTCCTTCTGGAACATCTCTGCTGGAGGGCCAGATAATCTCTGCTAGAACAATTTAGGTAAAGAGGCACTTACCATTTTCCTAGAACAGTCTGCACTACTTTAGTGTAGTGGGGTTAGTATAGGAAAGGTATCCCTTCTGTTGAGTTGAAAACAGCACGTGTATCTCACCAGTCCTTGTTCTGCCCTAATCCAGAGTTGGAGTTTCTACAACAACCATGTCTATCCACGTCCACTCACTAGTTCTTTCTTCTCTAGCCTGTGTCCTCAGTTTCTCTGACCATTCTTGGTATAAGATGGTTTCCAGATTCCTTACCAGCTGGGTGTTCTCCTAAATCTGTCACCGTCCTTCTTAAATATGACACCCAGAACCAAACACTGGGTTTGAAATATCAGATGCATCACGAAGGGCTGGGGCAAGATTCAGATGCAGAAGAACCCAGGCTAGCTGCCCTGTAATTAGAAAGGGATCCGGGCCCTGGCCAGGTCAGCGTGGGGACCCTGGCATGGGTTGAGATAGACCTCACAGAGGAACAAATCACCCGTGACCATAACCATGTGGTCAGAAAAGGACAGACAAGATTTAGCACCAATTTGATTGTGTCTAACCGAGGATTGGACACAAATGCTACCTTGTAATTTTAGTGCTCTGGCAGAGCCCCGCTGGCCACTTGAGGATGCTGGCTGAGAAGTTAGAGGCTCTCATGTCAAACATAAGTGATATGGGGGCCCTGGGTGGTTTCCAGCCAGATGTTAGTGAAATAATCTGGAAGGCAGGGTGGGATTGAGACCGAGAGTGGTGCCTGCTTCCTTGCCCAGCACATTGGGAAACTCGGTGTTCTTAGAATAGAAAAGAGACAGAGGTAGTGACCCAAATATATTCATCAAAAGCCGCCCCACTTGAGAAGGAAGGGGATAGTTGTCTCAGCTCCCTTGCACACCTGCTCTTTTCTTGTGTTATAGAGTCAGGGCTTTAGAGAACACTCTGCAGAATACCATATCTGGAAAGAGAAAAGTTCAGGGAGATTTCCAAGGGTAGTAGACCAGAGGAGCTGACATCTAAAGGTGAGGATAAAAGCAAGCACATCGCTTCCTCATGTTGAGACCAGAAAAAAGAATCATAATTAGAAGTGATGTAATCATTTTGCTCGAAAATCATTTCTGCAGTTGTAAGAGTGGAATCTGGAGATTCTCCTCTGGAGTGGTGACGTCGTGTGTCTGACCAGCAGAATAGGTTTCTGCCAGCAAGAAGCTCAGGGGAGGGTCAAGGTTGCAAGTTGTCACAGGGAGGGGACTCTCTCACAAGAGGGGGCCTTTTTGCCTATGTGGCAGCAGCCACTAACTCTTTGTCATTTGGTTTGTCTAGTCCTCAGCACATCACCACAAACAATGACTATGATAAAAGCCTTCCTGGCTGGGCATGATAGCTCATGCCTATAATCTCAACTCTTTGGAAGGCCAAGGCGGGAGGATGGCTTAAGGCCAGGAGTTCAAGATCAGCCTGGGCAACAAAGTGAGATAATGCTGTCTCTAAAAAAATAAATCCTGATTTTGTGGGTGGTTGATGGCTGATCTGATCTTCTCCTTCCAATGTCACCATCTTCTCTGGAAATGCTCTGAGATGCACAGCAGGCATGAGAAGCAACTACAAAAACTGAGGGCGGGAAGTGGAGGCGACGGGAGGTTGTTTTGTTTCCTTGGTCTGAAATATCTGGATTCTTGAGTCCTCTCATGGCTTGCTTGGCATCTGAAATGATGTGACATTATGGCATTTGGAAACAAAACACAAAAGATTTCCATGAATGAATATTTTCCTTTTAAAGAGAAAAAAAGAAAACCAACCTATTGGTGATGTTATTTTTTTTTAAACTGGAGGAAGTCAACATTTAGCTTGAGTGGATCCCTACAAGCTCTTCTGACAACTCAAAACAGAAGGTCCAGACATTGCCTAGTAAAATCCACATCTCAGAAATTCCAGGGAACACATAATTCTCATGTTTTAGAGAAGAAGGAAGCGGGTTTGGAAACGGAATCAGTTGAAATGAATGTCAGCCTGCAGGGAATTGTACTGCTTAAGAGAAATCTTAATGTTCTAAACATGTGCAACTATCCAAAATCATGGAGTAGGAAATGTGTTGGTTCATTCATTCATGCAATCATTCACATAACAAATATTTATTGAGGGCCAAGTCTGTGCCCACAGTGTCTCTTTGGTTTCCCAGGTTAGAGGCAGCTCTGTCAGGTGTTCTAAGTCTGTAGGAGGGAGATATTGCATATTCATTAACCTCCTCCTGGGAGGCAGGGTGCCCCTAGGCGATCAGATGCTAGTGAGGCAGATGGAGCCTCATTCTTAGATTTCATAAGTTCTCAGCAGCCTTCACATTTGGAAACACAGTTTACGGAGGGAGATGATCTCACCTGCATGGCAGGGATTGAGGACACCTGAATCCAGGTTTCTTCAACTTTCCTACTTTTTTTTTTTTTTTTTTTTTTTTTTTGAGACAGGTCTTACTTTGTCACCCACGCTGGAGTGCAGTGGTGCAATCAAAGCTCACTGTGGCCTCAACCTCTGCACCTGCCAGCTTTCCTACTCTTCACATAAAAATGTCTTTGTATCTTTACTCATTGCCTTCTCTCTTGTTTCAAGAAAGCGATGCCTAAGGCTGACCAAGCAAGGTCATGCCTATAATCTCAGCACTTTGGGAGGCTGAGGCAGGAGCATCACTTGAGGCTGGGAGTTCAAGACCAGCCTATGCAACATAGTGAGACCCCCGTCTTTACAAAAAAATGAAAAAATTAGCTGGGCATTGTAGCACATGCCTGTAGTCCTGGCTACTTGGGAGGTTGAGGCAGGAGGATCCCTTGAGCCTAGGGGTTTGAGTCTGCAGTGAGCCATGAACGTGCCACTGCACCCCAGCATTAGTGACAGAGCAAGACCCTATCCCAAAGAAAAAAAGAAGTGCCCAAGGCTAACTTCTCCAACTGAACCTCAATCCCTTCTCACCCCAATATCATTGGAGCCTTGCCCCATCAACTGTCCTCACCTCTCCAGCATCACCTCTTGGTTTCTCCTGCTCTCCACAAACAAACCTGCTTCCCTGCTTCTCTTGTACAAACTAACTCTCTATTCTGTTACTTCTCAAGCTATCCTGAGTTTCTCTATTTCCAGCAACATCAGCCTTCTCAGATGGTACTTCTTCCCCTCTATTCACTCCATCATCTCCCTGCTAATTTTATAGGTTCACACAAAACTGTAACTCCAAAGGTGACCAATGACCTTTATGACAGAGAGTTATGTCCCAACATCTGTCATCTTCTTTTAGAAATAGAACCCATTATTTTTAGCTGCATACCGGACTGCCCAGTTAAAGATTGCATTTTCAAGTTTTCCTTGCAGCTAAGTGTTGCCATGTATGTAACTTCTGGGATGTCCTCTGAAAAGAAACGCGACATGCTATTCACTTTTGCTTTTCACCTGCACCCTGGCTAGAATGTAGAGGGACATCAGGGACAGTCACTTTTGACCTGAAATAGAAACCTCGTGTGCTGAAGATAGTAGAGCAACGAGATATAAGGAGTATGTGTCCCCATCAACGTGGCACTTCCATATTAGCCCTGAACTATTTATGCTGGGCTGTTGTGTGAGGAAGATACACTGCACACTGTTAATTTGGTCTTTATTACAGCAGCCAAATCTGTATCGTTATAGAGTAACCCGTATCTTCAACATAAGCTTCTGATTGCCCATTGCAATGACCATTTCTCAGGCTCTCCTGTCCCTGCAGCACTGGATACTGTGGATCCCCTTCCTCCTTCTGCTGCTCCCCTGATATTGCATAATCCGATTCCCTTCAGTGGCTACCCCAGTGCCACCCCTCCTTTATCCATGGCCCTCTTTGGTAAGCTGATCCCAACTCATTATTTGTTCTTCTTCTTCCTTTTTTTTTTTTTTTTTTTTTTTTTGAGACAGAGTCTCACTTTGTCGCCCAAGCTGGAGTACAGTGGTGTGATCTTGGCTCACTGAATCTCTGCCTCCTGGGTTCTAGTAATTCTCCTGCCTCAGCCTCCCAAGAAGCTGGGATTACAGGTGTGCATGCCACCACGCCCAGCTAATCTTTTGTATTTTTAGTAGAGACGGGGTTTTGCCATGTTGGCCAGGCTGGTCTCAAACTCCTGACCTCAGGTGATCCACCCGCCTCAGCCTCCCAAAGTGCTGGGATTACAGGCATGAACCAGCACATCCGGCCCCAACTCATCATTTTAATCCTTCCTTCAGACCTCATTAGCACTGCTCCTGGACCAGTGCAAAGAGCACAGAGCAGCATGGCCTGATGGCTAAGAGCACAGACCGCCCCACTTGAATCCCAGCTCTGCCACCTACCCACTGTGGGATCTTGGGCAAGTTACTTAATCTCTCCTTGCCCCAGTTTTCTCATTTATAAAAGGGGGATAATAAGAGTACTAATCTCAAATGGCTGTTGTAAAGAGTAGATGAGTTCATGGATATACAGTTTTCAGACAGAGCCTGGCACCTGGAAAGTTCTATGTAAAATGTTAGCTCTTGCTGTTGTTGGTGTTCACATCTGAGGACGCAGGTCCCAGTCCCTGAACATGGCTGGCCCAGACGTTACCTTGGAGCCACAGTCAGGTCATGGTGCTTTGGCGGCTAGAAATGAGATTGGATTTCTAAGCCTGCCTGATTCCTGATCTATTTGCTGCTCTGGCCTCTGGCAATTACAAGATGATTTTACTCCCCTCTGTGTCAATGACTTTTGGATGCCTCCATTTTTGTAGTTGCTTCTCATGTCTGCTCTGCATTTCAGATCATTTCCAGAGAAGATGATGACATTGGAAGGAGACAATTACCCGCCTCTAGTCCTGACCCTTCACTCAAGCCCCAGGGCTGCCTCAAACAATCCATGGCCATGGCACCTTCAGCCTCTCATTTGCATCACTGTCAGAGCTGTCCAGGTGGGTTCTGCTTGGTTGTGGGAATCACAGGCCTTGAACTATGGGGATGACTTGATGAGATAGTTCCCACATGGCCCTGAGAATTTTTACTGGGAAGCATCTCTTTCCTTCACCTGGATGATGGTGCTATAGGACTTGTGCAGATTAGGAAGGAAACCCCTGGTTTCAGAATCAGACTGACCTTAATTCAAGTCCAAGCTACCCACTAGCATTGGGCAAATTATTGTACTCAGAGTCTAATAACACACAACTCAGAAACACATTAGCAAAAATTAGATACATGTAGATAATGCACACAGGAAACATTGCATATAGGAGGCATTCAATAAATTTCTTCTCTTCTGTTAAAAAGTATTGTTTGTTCTGTTTACATTTACTTATGTTTTGCATTTTTTTCCCTGTAAAACTTACATGTGGGGCCAGAGTGTTCCAATTTGCTTGTTGCCCTTACCTGTAGGGGAAGCGGACCTTAGCAGGTTTGGTATCCAGTGCAGCAACCCAAAACTATTGCAATTAAATGAATGAATTTATATCAAACTGACTCCAGAAATGAGTTTTTAAATTTAAATTTAATTTAATTTTCGTAGAGATGACCGTGGGTGGGGGCGGGGGTGTGGTCTTGCTATGTTGCCCAGGCTGGTTTCAAACTCTGGCCTCAAGTGATCCTCCCACCTTAGCCTTCCAAAGCGCTGGGCAGAAATGAGCTGAAGTGGCCCTTTTATTTATTTGTATTTTATTTACTTATTTTTGAGACGGAGTCTCGCTCTGTCGTTAGTCTGGAGTGCAGTGGCACAATCTCAGCTCACTGCAACCTCCACCTCCTGGGTTCATGCAATTCTCCTGCCTCAGTCTCCTGAGTAGCTGGGATTACAGGCATGCTCCACCACACCCAGCTAATTTTGTATTTTTAGTAGAGACAGGGTTTCACCATGTTGGTCAGGCTGGTCTCGAACTCCTGACCTCAGGTGATCCACCCACCTCGGCCTACCAAAGTGCTGGAATTACAGGCGTGAGCCACTGCGCCCGAATGGTAGTCAGTTTTTCATCTGATTATACAGAGCCAGCCCAGAAAGAGCTTTGCTTTTTTTTTTTCTTTTTTTTTTTTTTTTAATAGGGATTGTTCCTGAAAGGTAGGTCACTGTCATCTAGCTCTGTTTCTTCATGCTTCTGAAGTCTCATGACCGATGCTGCAGTGGGGAAAGTAAGCAATTGCCTCTGAAAACAACCACACATAGATCCAAAAGAAGTCAAACAGGTTCTTGTCTCTTTCACCAATAAGTGCATGACTTCCTTAATAAGAATAAACTAGCTCCCTCCACATTGGCAGAGGAGGTAGCCTCCAAATATTGTACAAGGTGTACTTATACCAAAAAAAAATTATTGTTGATCTGAAATTCAATTTTAACTGGACATCCTGCATTTTATCTGGCAATCATAACTAGGAAGCAAGGAAAAGTGGTGGTGGTAGGTTCTGTGTGAGAAGAAGGGAGAGGAAAACGTGGATGACGTGGGCAGGGCCAGTGCCCACTTGTGAAATAAACAGGATTTTTGTGGACAGACGATTTTAGTAAGTGAAGCAGTACACTCTTGCTGGGTTTGAGTCCAAGACTCTGAGCCATCGAGGGCTGGTGGGTTTTGAGTTCTTTTCTTTTCTGCTTTTGAGATCGTGCCTGACAGAGTTCCTTTTCACCCCACTGTCCTCAGAGAATGAGACTCTTCAAGCCAGCCCAGATCTGTTTGTTCTCTGAAGAACAAACATTCTGAGAAATGGAACATTGAGAGGAAAAAGAAGAGATATGCAGTGAAATGCCTAAAGTATAACCTAATCTGGGCCAAATGTAGCCCACAGGATCCTAAAATGAGACACGTGGGCACCTCCAGCCTCTAATTACACAGTGAGGATGACGCAGATTGGCTACAGTTTGGGTTGCTAGAGAGTACACAAAACCAGACATTTCTTTTCTTATGGGAAGTGGGGAAGCAGTCACTTTGGAGATGATGGGGTGGAGAGAAGGCATGCATTTAATTCCTATCAGCATGAACATGTTTATTTCAACCTAATATAGTTTTTGAGATTTAAAGCATCCAAAACGTCCTGTATTTTACAAAATGAAATAAAGATGAAAGAGCTTAACATTGCTAGTTATTAGGGATAATGGAAATTTAAAACACAACAAGATACCACTATCTGCCTTCTAGAGTGGCTAAAATTAAAGTACAAAACAAACAAACAAACAAACAAAAAAACCAGACAGCACCAAGTGCTGACGAGGATTTGGATCAATATGCAAAATGATAGTTACTTTGGGAAAGGCGCTTGGCAATTTCTTACAAAGTTAAACATACAGTTAGCATAGGACCCAGAAATCCTACCCCTGTCAGATGAATAACCCAGAAGTACATCAACTCAACTAGTAACTTGATAAACAAATTGCGGTACCTCTAAACAATGGAATACTACTCAAATGAAAAGGAACAAAGCTACTGATACATGCAACAACTTGGATGAGTCTCAAAAGTATCATGTGAATGAAAGAAGCCAGACATAAAAGGCTATATTTCATTTACACAATATTTTGAAAAAGGCAAAAAACTATAAGGGCAGAAAGCAGATTAGTGGTTGTCTGTGGCTGGGTGTGGATGATAATTTTCTACAAAGGCGTATGAGGGAATTTTGTGGGGTGACGAAACTTTGATATCTTGATTGTGGTGGTGGTTATAGAACGGTATCTGCCAAAACTCATTGAATATATGCTGTAAAAGGATAAATTATATTTTGTGTAAATTATACTTCAATAAACCTGACTTTTTTAATTTTTTATTTTATTTTTTTTGAGATAGAGTCTTGCCCTCTCGCCCAGGCTGGAGTGCAGTGGCATGATCTCGGCTCACTGCAACCACTGCCTCCCAGGTTCAAGCGATTCTCATACCTCAGCCTCCCGAGTAGCTGGGACTACAGGCATGCACCACTATGCCCTGATAATTTTTGTATTTTTAGTACAGACGGGATTTGCCACTTTGGCCAGCCTGGTATCGAACTCCTGACCTCAAGGGATCTGCCCGCCTTTGCCTCCCAAAGTGTTGGGATTACAAGCATGAGCCACCGTGCCCAGCCAATAATCCCGACTTAAAAAAAAAAAAAACGAAGGGATTATTTATTTGAGACAGGGTCTTGCTCTGTTGCCCAGGCTGAAGTGCAGTCGTGCAATCATAGCTCACTAAAGCCTCGATCTCCCTGGCCCCAGCAGTCCTCCCACCTTCCAAGTAGCTGGGACTGAAGGCTTGTGCCACCATACCCGGCAAATATATATATATATATATATATATATATATATATATTTTTTTTTTTTTTTTTTTTTTTTTTTTTTGAGACAGAGTCTGGATGTGTCACCCAGGCTGGAGTGCAGTAGCGCGATCTCTGCTCACTGCAAGCTCCGCCTCCCGGGTTCACGCCATTCTGCCTCAGCCTCCTGAGTAGCTGGGACTACAGGTGCCCGCCACCACGTCCGGCTAATTTTTCTGTATTTTTAGGAGAGATAGGGTTTCACCATGTTAGCCAGGATGGTCTCGATCTCCTGACCTCATGATCCGCCTGCCTTGGCCTCCCAAAGAGCTGGGATTACAGGCATTAGCCACCATGCCTGGCCAATACTTTTTATTTTTAGTGGAGACAGGGTCTCACTATTTTGCCCAAATTGGTCTTGAACTCCTGAGCTCAAGCAGTTCTCCTGCCTTGACCTCCCAAAGTGCTGGGATTTCAGGTGTGAGCCACCATGCCTGGCCCTAAGAGTTTTTCTTAAATATAATATTGCTATCACCTATATTAATGTCAGCTAATATTTATTGAGTATTTAATATGTACTAGTCATTGGGCAGCATATAATACACACACACATGTGTGTGTGTGTGTATGTGTTTACACATAAGATGATTTAAAATATGTTAGACGATTATTATGTATATTAGATTATTTTATACACACATGGATAGATATTAGAGTGATTAGTAGATGAAACTAAGGCTCAGAAAGGTGGAGGAACTTGCTCCGGGTCACAGGGGCAGTAAGTGACAGCACTGGGATTTGAGCCCAGTCTCTCTGATTCCAGAGCCATCACAGCTTGCTGTCTTAGTTCAAAGTGTAAGCATAGACAACTCACACATAGCTAGTCAGGGTTTCTCAGCCTTGGCACTATTGACATTTTGGGCTGGATAATTTTTTGTATGGGGAGTATTCTGTGCATTGTAGGATGTTTAGCAGCATCCCTGGTCTCCACCCACTAGATGCCAATAATGCCCCTTCAGATGTAACAACCAAAAATACCTCCAGACATTGCCAAATATACAATGGGGCAAAGCAGTCTCCACACCCAATTAAAAACACTGATATTTTAGTGTTTCTCTTGTGCAAGACTTCCCAAGAGAAGACTCGCATGGAACCACTGAGAATACGGAAGATCCAGAGAATAAATGTGGTATATTTGGATAGCTGGGTTGATGACTTAATTGTAGCACTTGGGTCCTGGGTAAATCCCTAGAAGTAAATTAATTCTGCGTAAAACTTATGTGAATAAATATTTATGCACATGGACATAGAAACATAAAGATGAAACTATAATGTTTCATGAAAAACACCCATGCCAAAATGCACGTTTTTCCCTCTTATGCAGTCACCCTGGGAGGCTTTATGCTTCTGCCAGAGGTACATCATTCCCCAGGATGGTGCCAGGCCTGCCTTTGCAACCAACCTCTGCTTTGAATTCTCTACCTGTGGCAAGTCTTCCTCCTTTTGGAAACAACTAGAAGTTACCAAGGATGATGAGCAAGTTGGACAATCAAATTAGGTGATCATATTATGTTTTTTTCCCCCAAAGAAGACATGACCGTGAAGAAGTAAGATTGATCTTTCTCTGCAGTTTATTCAATGATTATCATACATTGGCGATTTCTTTAAACAAATCATACAATAATGATACTAGATGCCAGTCCCTGAGTGCTTACAATGTGCCTTGTAGTCTGCAATAATCATCTCATGGAATCATAAGAATTATCTGACCTATCACCATATACAAAAATTAACTCAAAATCATCAACTTCCTAAATGTAAGAGCCAAAATCGGCCGGGCACGGTGGCCCACGCCTGTAATCCCAGCACTTTGGGAGGCTGAGGCGGGTGGATCAAGAGGTCAGGAGATCGAGACCATCCTGGCTAACACGGTGAAACCCCGTCTCTACTGAAAATACAAAAAATTAGCCGGGCATGGTGGCAGGCGCCTGTAGTCCCAGCTACTAGGGAGGCTGAGGCAGGAGAATGGTGTGAACCCGGGAGGTAGAGCTTGCAGTGAGCAGGGATCACGCCACTGCACCCCAGCCTGGGCGACAGAGCGAAACTTCGTCTCAAAAAAAAAAAAAAAAAAAAAAAGAGCTAAAATCATAAAACTCTTGGAAGAAAACATCAGTGTAGATCTTTTTGACCTCGGATTAGGTAATAATTTCTTAGATATGACACTCAAAGCATAAGCAATTAAAAACATGTAAGTTGGGGCCAGGAGCAGTGGCTCACGCCTGTAATCCCAACACTTTGGAAGGCCAAGGTGGGCAGATCACCTGAGGTCAGGAGTTCAAGACAAGCCAACATGGCGAAACCTTGTCTCTACTAAAAATACAAAAAAATAGCCAGGTGTGGTGGTGGGCGCCTCTAATCCCAGCTACTTGGGAGGGTGAGGCAGGTAGAATTGCTTAAACCTGGGAGTTGGAGGCTGCAGTGGGCCAGATAGTGCCGCTGCACTCCAGCCTAGGTGGCAGAGTGAGACTCTGTCTCAAAAAATAAAATAAAATAAGTAAAAAAGAAACTACATAAGTTGCCGAAGGTCATATAGTAAGTAAGAGGCCTCGGTAACATTTGAAATCAACCTCTAGGCCACTGGGTCTCAACCAGCAACCAGCAGCATCAGCAATGCCTGGAAATTTGACAGAAATGCACATTATCAGATCCTATCCAAGACCTACTGAATCAGATATTCTGGGGTTCTCAGATTGGGGTGGGGCCTAGTAATTTGTGTTTCAATATGCCTTACAGATAACTGAAGCAGCCAGTTTGAGAAGCACTGTGCTGTGCTAGGTGATACTGCCACTCAGAGCCTAAACTAAGGCAGGTGTGTTAAAGATGAAACCACAAGACAGATTGGAGAATTATTTAGAAAGGTAAGAGCCCTGTGGCCAGGTGCGGTGGCTCACACCTGTAATCTCAGAACTTTGGGAGGCCAAGGCAGATGGATCACCTGAGGTCAGGAGTTTGAGACAAGCCTGGCCAATATGGTGAAACCCTATCTCTACTAAAAGTACAAAAATTAGCCGGGTGTGGTGGCAGGCGCCTGTAATCCCAGCTACTCTGTAGGTTGAGGCAAGAGAATTGCTTGAACCCAGGAGACAGAGGTTGCAGTGAGCAGAGGTCACGCTGTTGCACTCCAGCCTGGGCAACAAGAGCGAAGCTCTGTCTCAAAAAGAAAAAAAAAAAAAGAAGAAGAAGAAGAAAAAGAGTTCTGGCTGGGTGTGCCATAATCTCAGCACTTTGGCAAGCCAAGGCAGGTGGATCACTTGAGGTCAGGAGTTTAAGATCAGCCTGGCCAACATGGTGAAACCCCCATCTCTACTGAAACTAAAAAAATTAGCTGGGCTTGGTGGTGGGTGCCTATAATCCCAGCTACTCAGGAGGCTGAGACAGGAGAATTGCTTGAACCCAGGAGATGGAGGTTGCAGTGAGCCAAGATTGTGTTACTGTACTCCAGCCTGGGCAACAGAGTGAAACTTCATCTCAAAAAAAGAAAGTTAAGGGTTCTGTTTAAAAGGCAGCTGGGATTACAGGCATGTGCCACCATGCCCAGCTAATTTTTGTATTTTTAGTAGAGACGGGATTTCACCATGTTGGCCAGGCTAACTCCTGACCTCAAGTAATCCGCCTACCTTGGCCTCCCAAAGTGCTGGAATTACAGACGTGAGCCACTGTGCCCAGCCAAGTATGTAGTTTCTCTTGGCCTCTTTCCTCTTCTGTAAAATGCTGATACAAGCCTTACCTTTGAGAGTTGTATTACATGAGATTATACAGGTAAAGCTTTTAGCATGTTAAGCCTGGACAAGTAGGGGCTTAATAAAGGGTAGTTTTTAGGCCCACATCATCTCTCTCCTGGACTCACTACTGGTCTTCTCCATCCCTGATCACCCCACCCAAGCGATTCGTCTCTATCTCTGACCCCAATTATCTAACTTTCAGCTCTCTTACTCCGTTTTGCTCACTGTGCCTGGTTTTCAGTTGTATTGAGGGTTTGGCCCTTTTATTGTCTCCCGTTAGCCCCCATCCGCTCCCACACTCTGAATGGGATTTCTCTCCTCTCTGGCTAGACCACAGGTCTGTCCCTTTTGCCAGCGCCATTGATTTCCTTGACCCATATTCTTTGCAGTGCTGACCTTAGGAAACTTTGAGCTCATTGCGGTTATTTGTTGGCCTTCCCACATTCCACCTGAGCTGCTGGATGCTGCTAGAGAAAGTGACATAACAAGCTGCTCCTTATGGGTCTAATCTCAGAGTCCTCAAGCTGCTCTTAATCTCTTTATTTTCCCCTTTGAATGCAGCCATCTCAAACCTTCTCCAAACTCTTCTGACCTCCTACCACAGCACCTTCCTGCTTCCTCTCAGCAGGTGATCTCGTGGTTTACAGAGGAAATAAAAGCGTCTATTGATTTCCTGTCATTGCTTCCACAGATTGACCTCCATCTACCCTTGTCCTCTCTTCTGCCCCTTTGCCTAATACTTCTATTGTGCTTGGATCCCCTTTCTTCAGGCCTACGACCGCCCCATACACCTTTTTTTTTTGAGACAAGGTTTCACCCTGTCACCTAAGCTGGTGTGATCATAGCTTACTACAGTATGACCTCTTGGGCTCAAGCCATCCTCCCACATCAGCTTCTCAAGCAGCTGGAACTATAGGCTCACATCACCATGCCCCACTAGTTTTTTCTTGTTTTGTGGAAATGGGGTCCCACTATGTTGCCAGGCTGGTCTCGAACTCCTGAGCTCAAGTGATCCTGAGCCTTCCAAGGTGCTGGGATTACAAGTATGAGCCACCACACCCAGATGGGCCCAGTAGGGGCTATGCTAATCTTTTCTGTACCGTTCCCATTTTAGTATATGTGCTGCTGAAGCGCACACTCTACTGCCTTTTAAAAATCTTTTTAAAAATTATTCTACCTTAAATTCTAGGGTACAAGTGCACAACGTGCAGGTTTGTTACATAGGTATACATGTCCCATGTTGGTTTGCTGCACCCATCAACTCGTCATCTACATTAGGTATTTCTTCTAATGCTATCTCTCCCCCAGCCCCCCACCCCCCAATACGCCCTGGTGTGTAATGTTCCCCACCCTGTGTCCATGTGTTCTCATTGTTCAACACCCACCTATGAGTGAGAACATGTGGTGTTTGGTTTTCTGTCCTTGTGATAGTTTGCTTAGAATGATGGTTTCCAGCTTCATCCAAGTCCCTGCAAAGACATGAACTCATCCTTTTTTATGACTGCATAGTATTCCATGGTGTATATGTACCACATTTTCTTAATCCAGTCTATCATTGATGGACATTTGGGTTGGTTCCAAGTCTTTGTTATTATGAATAGTGCCACAGTAAACATACGTGGGCATGTGTCTTTATCATAGAATGATTTATAATCCTTTGGGCATATGCCCAGTAATGGGATTGCTGGGTCAAATGGTATTTCTAGTTCTAGATCCTTGAGGAATCACCACACTGTCTTCCACAATGGTTGAACTAATTTACACTCCCACCAACAGTGTAAAAGCATTCCTAATTCTCCACATCTTCTCCAGCATCTGTTGTTTCCTGTCTTTTTAATGATTGCCATTCTAACTGGTGTGAGATGGTATCTCATTGTGATTTTGATTTGCATTTCTCTGATGGCCAGTGATGCTGAGCATTTTTTCATGTGTCTGTTGGCTGCATAAATGTCTTCTTTTGAGAAGTGTCTGTTCATATCCTTTGCCCACTTTTCGATGGGGTTGTTTGTTTTTTTCTTGTAAATTTGTTTAAGTTCTTTGTAGATTCTGGATATTAGCCCTTTGTCAGATGGATAGATTGCAAAAATGTTCTCCCATTCTGTAGGTTGCCTGTTCACTCTGATGGTAGTTTCTTTTGCTGTGTGGAAGCTCTTTAGTTTAATTAGATCCCATTTGTCTATTTTGGCTTTTGTTGCCATTGCTTTTGGCGTTTTAGTCATGAAGTCCTTGCCCATGCCTGTGTCCTGAGTGGTATTGCCTAGGTTTTCTTCTGGGGTTTTTATGGTGTTAGGTCTTACATTTAAGTCTTTAATCCATCTTGAGTTACTTTTTGTATACAGTGTAAGGAAGAGATCCAGTCTTTCTTTAATCTCTTTTTTCTATACATACTTATTCAATAACTTATTTATTTTTATTTTTACTATTTTCTTTAGAGATAGGGTCTCACTCTGTCTCCTGGGCTGCAGTGCAGTGGCACAATCTTGGCTCACTGCATCCTCCACCTCCCGGGCTCAAGTGATCCTCCCACCTCAACCTCCCGAGTAGCTGGGACTACCGGCATGCACCACTATACCTGGCTAATTTTTAAAATTTTTGTAGAGACAGCATTCTTGCTAAGTTGCCCAGGCAGGTCTCAAACTCATGGCCACAAGTGAGCCTCCTTCCTTGGCCTCCCAAACTGCTGGGAGGCATGAACAACCACACCCGGCCCCCAATAACTTTTAAATGCATTTAAATCTCTTTCAAATAATAATCATAATAATAAAACACCATCGAC